CCAAAACAAGCGAATAATTGTGTGTGTGTGCTGGGTGAACCGCCTTGTGGTATCTAACGGTCGGCTTGCCTCACTACAATGTTGTCACTGATTTAATCCAAATAATTGTAACCAAAATTATAACTATAGAAATTTTATCAAGAACTGGACATTTTTCTTACACAAAATACCGCCATTCGATAATGCAACGGCCATGCAACCACCAGGCTATTTAGCTTCAAGTACTGTTGTTCAAATTGCCTCAGCATCCGAAATAATATCCGCCCCTATATGAGATTAGAATGCGAGCCTATTCATAATGGCCCAAATAAACAACGAAACATTGAATAGAAATCTAGGTTTTGCATGTCGGTGTGCCAAACGTCATCAAATTATCTCGAAAATTGCGATTTGCAGATTGAACACAAGAAAGCAAGACGGGTAGATGGACAGACCAGCTTAGATTAATTTAGAAAGTGGCTCTGAATTGATCAGTATAATAAGATTGAGCATATTTCACATCGTTCTGGTTGTTGTATACAACCACACAAACTTAATATATCCTCGTACCGCAATTGGTTTAGGATACCAAATGAAAAAATAAATAAAACTGTTTAATTTACCAAATAAAACATTTTTATAAGTCAATTCTGCAAATCAGATCGTTTGGGTAACTCAAAGCGCATGACAATTTTTTATTAGGCAATAACTTGGCTTGCTACTGCACTCACCAAAACTGAATGAGTTTATTTAAAAGAAAACTTTGATAAAGAACTTTAAGTAAAATATGCATTGTTTTAAGGAATACGTCTCTTTTTGACTCTTCTCAGAGTTTTTAAGGAATACGTCTCTTTTTGACTCTTTCTCTATCTTTTTATTAAATTCATACGAAACCTCTCAACGATGTAACTATTATACCACAACCACGTGAATATATACTTCTTCCTTTCAATCAGTAAAAAATAAAAGTAATCTATAAATAGTATTTATTCCTCAAAGCGCGATTTTAATCATTCCGCTTAAGAAGTTTTCATTATCGTTAAGCCATTATATCTTTGCAATATCATCACGCATTTTTTTTAAAAATATTATTGTTAACGATAGAAAGACTTCTTCTTGCAATATCATATATCTGAATAAAAACAATTTTGCTGTATTAAAAGTTAATACGTAAAATATAGCAAAAAAGCAATTTTATTTTCTAATAAAAAAGTTATTAATTTTAAAGGAGAGAAAAGCTGCATCAGCGTACCTAAGCAAGCCTTAGGGTTTTTTTTATAGATTTGTAGGGAATTGTAAGGCAAATAAATAATGGATGGACAAAAATTAGTGACGGACAAAGGTCAGCTCTATCGGAGCTGAACAAAAGTTCCATACTTCTTAAGTGACTCATAAGGTTCTGATTGTAAAGAAATTGCGCTTCCTTTGAGAGCTACTTTCAAATGAAGAAAGAGTCGAACCTTCTTCTTCTTGTATAGTTGTGTCGTATTAACTCTCTCTTGTTGTTACAAATTTCAATTTTCTAAATGAAAAAATATTCGCGGTTAGTTTTATCTGTAGCTTATAAAGTCTTACAACATGCCTTAACTGTACGTGTATTTAGTGAAAAACTCCATCCAGTTGATTACAAACAAGGTCTCACAAACGCACTCTTTTAATCATTATAAACGACTTGATTTGTTGGCTCATTATTTTTCTATTAATACGCAGTCAGTTATCTTGATCCATATCTTTTTTGATTTTTTTCTTACTATAAAAAATACTCGAATACTAGAATTTTCTTTAAAATAATCATTTAACGAGACCAAATTTTTGTCAAAACCATATAACTGGGAAGGAAATCGTTTTCGTAAAAGTATCTTTTTTATAATGACGTCGAGAATTTTGTTTAATGAATAAGTATACGGTTATGGAGGGAGAGCGGGGATACAATTATAATCAAAGTATATCGTTAAACATAATTCTTGTTAGTTGCATGATCCTATCTTTTCTTTGCTCTTTTAGAATGTCAATGTGATATGCTCGACCATCGTCGACGTCTTCTCAAGGCAGCTCAATTCCAAAGTTGAATTTCGTATTCGTGCAGATTGCCAATGGACTTAAGTCTTATGAAAAATTAGTGCATTGCTCAATGGATCATTCAGTGTGAGACCATACTCCTCTAAAATCGATTTCAACATCAGACATTAACTTAGGCGCTCGGTTTTCGATTTGTGGCAGTCTTTTATTTGCACAGCTGAGATAAGTACAGCTCCACTTCATTTAAATAAGGATGTTTCACTCGCACATATCGTTCAATCTACATTGAAATAATAAAGTCAATGCGCTCAAATCTATCTGTCATCAGTAAATTCCTTTAGTTGAGTTTGTCATCAATATCAATATATCAATTTATCGAAGGGGTTTTTTGCACTGCCTTTTTAGGTCTTAGCAAATTTTTTTCCAAAATATTCCTTATCTTTGAAAGGCGCAGTTGCTTATAATTTTTGATCCATCAATCAAGCTCATTATTGCACTAAAGCCTTAAGAGGTGCTGATTTCGCAGCAAATTTCAGGTTAATATTTGCTATAGGCGTAATCGCCAGTCATTTTGAGAGATGATCAGTAACTGCTAATTAATGTTCCATGGTAATGTTCCATGCTAATTAACATTGCATGTTTCAGCTTTCCATAGCAATTTTGTAATCTTGAACGTTTCAAAAAAACAGCCGGCGTAGATTCCTATTTGTGTGCAAACAAAGAAACAAAGCTAATATGCCACCATCTCTCGCTAGTAAATATGTAAAAATACTACGCTACCAGTCTACCTAGGATACAATTCATTTTTTCAAGTAAATGATTACGAAAATGTCTTTCTTGACGTTTATCTTGCGCCTTATAATTTAAAATTTACACCTCTTAAATTGGTACTATTATCACATTAACTGACAATAATTTTTATTGTATTTTCTATTTTATTGTTTGGTTGTGTTAGATTAATTCAAATAATGTCACATATAAATCGATATTATAAACATTGTACAGAAGTTATTAGGTTGGCAAGAAAGAAATTGCAATTTCCGCTTCTATTTGAAAAGATATATGTCAGTTATATATACCAGAGAGAACGAGAAAGAGAGGGAGACGAAGAAACAGTCAAACGCCGAGTGAAAACTTGCTTATAATGGAGGCATATTCTACCTGAAAGGCAAAACAATTCATTCATCGGTACTTAGCGTAAGTGTGAATAAAAGGAAAAAATTGTATTAAACATTTTTAAACGAATTCATTAAAGCTTTTACCGCAACGTTCATTTAAATATTTTGCAAAGGGTGATAGAAATAGTATTATTTACAACTACATGTTATTAGATCCCGGCAATGAGGTTCCTGGTTTCAGTTTCTTTTTTAAATACTAAAAAAAGAAAAAGAAAAAAAGTAGTACTGTAGAATAATTTCCTGTTCAAATGTTGTCTCTATTTAAATAAAGTTTTAATACCTAGTTTTAGTTACCTATGCATGCATATGTACGTTTGTTTTATAACGTCTATCTGGAAAGGTTCGTTTGCCTTTTTTGCGGTTTCGATAATGTACTATGAAGTACCTATGTAAGTTTTACCGCAGAAACACCTTACCAACAAAATGTCTAATGACCCACTTTAGGTAGATACAAATGACTAAATGCATTTGTGTATATGTTTGATGCACGCATTGTCTTCAACAGATATACGCAAAGCGCGCTTAAATTACACTTCCCATTTTCTTTCGTCTTTTCTTTCTATCTTTCACCCCTTTTTCAACGCTTTCGAAGGTATTTGAACTTTATCAAATTAGTACAACACGTAGTTCGGGACATTAGAGTAAAATTTTTAATCAATGTATAGCCCTTCATTGTTTGCACGAGTTGATAATAACATGTTTGGGACACAAGATTCTGGTTTTATATATATGACCTATTTTCCTTTTCTCTTTCTTTAACAAAGAAAACAAAAAAAATTTGTAATGATAGAATTGAAAAATTCAAAAAAAATATCGAAGAAGAAGAAAAACAAAATTAGGAATGGGATTAACTATTGTTTTGAGTTTAGCGATGAAAACTGCCCACATTCATTTTGCAGGTATGCTGTTGTATTCATTATTCTAAAATTAAAATAGATATTAATGAAAATATCAAGAACTCAAAAAAAACAAAAAACTTGATTCATTTTAAGCTTGTGATATACACATAGATATATGATAAGGACTAACGTGGTATGGTATTAAAGATTCGATCTATAGCAAATAAAAGTTTATAATAACTTTTCATAAAAATAATGACATTAAATATTTAACAGTATATAATTACTTAGACAAACACAAATACATCAATGTTTAAACAACTGTAATAAACGTAATAAAGTTTCGCTTTGACATGTAAATCATATTATATATACGAACATACAGATATACATGCATATATATATATATATATATATATATATATATATATTCTTATGTAAATAAATGGTATTAATTATTTGTCATTTAATTATATACGTTTTGCAAATATACTAATAATATGGAAAATTCCTCTCCGAGCATAAAGTGAATGTCACAAATAAACATAAATTGGTCGCGCTAAAGAATTTGGCAGTTTTTAACAATTACCGCAGAACGCACATACCGCGTATAGAATGAATTTCAATTTGTCAATTAATTTTTACATAATACATGTAATCAGATTTTTGTAATTGTAAAAGAGTACAAGCATTGATCAGAGTGCGATCAAAGTCAAGTGCACGCAAAGTTCATTCGAACAGTAATGAGATGCCGATTTACAAGGTAACGGTATTGACCCGAAAATTAAAAAAAAAAAAAAACAAAGTTTTTTATTACATAACAACAAAACAAACGACAATTTCTTGTAAGATTTTGATAAATTTGGAAATAAGGCTCATTCGTATTCTGGATGGCTATTAATAATTAAAATTCTAATAAATAGATAAAACTATATTCTATTTTATATTTTATCCCTATATATTTAGTTAAATACATTTGCTTTACCTTGTGGTCCATTTAAACATTCAAGCTCTATAGTATAATCCCAACAATCCAAACTATTTAATTTCGTTAATGATGCCAAACCGTTGAGGGCATTTTGCTGAGTAGTCATCAACGATGATGGTACGCGGCGCACAAAACTACCATTAGCCAATTCCCAAGGACGTCTCACGTCTAAGATGTCAGCGTCAACTTGTCCATGAGCGTTTTTATCTTCTTCATTAATAATTCCAAAAACATCGGCCACTTTGTCAACTTCGTTCTGACCATTACATTTGGGAGACTTTTCAACATTCGCATTATTGATTTGGGCAAGGTTCTCGGTGTCGGTTATTTGCCATTGTAAGGGTTGTTGATCATTTATAATAGTTGCAGTTTCCGTTGGTAACGACGGTGAACCCCGATCAGTTAACTTCGCTGTGACAGCTACGTTCGGCATCGCAGCCGGACAATTGCTATGACCATTGACGACTCTTATGTCATTGTTGCCATTAATGGCTACAGTACTTTTGGCAAGATATGCCAGAGAACAAAATGGTTTATTAGCTTTGGTGGATGTACGCGTTGTTGACGTATTGTTGGCACTATTAGTGCTGTGATTAATTTTGCCGCAAGTGATGTCACTCATATTGTATAAATTATTAGAGTTTGAATTTAAAATATTCGTCATTAAATTATAAAATAGTTCACATTATTAATAACAATTCCGAAAATTGGTCATAACAGAATTTTTTTTTTTTAATTTGTATAAAATTGAAAAAGTTATTCGTTGTATTTAATATTCGTTTTGTGCTCGTGACAAAAATTTATTTGCCTGTGTGGTGTGGGCATTGGAATGTAGATACGTTTCTTTGATAAACAAACACACAAATTTGGAATTTAAAGAACCAGTTTTACTTGAGCTGCTTCCGCTGCTGCTATTCATTCCGACCTGTGTATTCCTTTTCTGTCATTGCAACATCAACTGTCTGGCTATTAGTTTATGTTAAGACAAGTGCGAAAATTATTCCAGCTATAATTCTTGCGCTATAATAGACTCAATGCCAAGCCTTGCTCAAACCAATTACGTAGTTGTATGGACCAAAGTAAGTTGCCACAAGCTGCGGCTAGCATAGCTTGTTATAGAACCAGAATTATTCAATCTGCCAAAGTCAATGCACTATGATTGCCTTGAAAACACCTAGAAAAGAATCACGACCGGCACACAATAATAAATATCCAACAATAGAAATTAAAACTGGCAGCGACTGAGCGTTTTTATAAACTTGGCTGAGTTGCAACGTTTGACAGACTAACTGCAACGATTATTATCAAGCCTTAGGTAACACGAACGAGAACACGATTAACTTGTGTATATTTAATACAAACATACGCGTAAAAGAAATTTGTGTCTACATATATGTATATATATATATATGTATATATATATATATATATATATATATATATATATATATATATATAATTGCATATATATACATTGAATTAAGAAACCAGAGTTTGTAAAGCGCCCACAAAAAGTGGACGCTTAACATACAACCAGTTCACTGATAGATCAATGAGTAAACTATTATAGTGAACACTGCGGTGTCGCGCATGCGCAACGGAATGTTAAACACTTTTATGACGAATCACAAAACAATATTAGCAACCATGCAAAGTTCTTTCTTGCTTTTTCTCTCTTTTTTCTTTGACTTTTTCCTTTCTTCTCTTTCTTTCTCTCTCTCTTTCTCTCTCTCTCTCTCTCTTTCTCTCTCTCTTTCTCTCTCAATCTCCCTACCTCTCTTTTTTTCTATTTTCCTTCCTTCCTATCGAACGAATCGTAATTATTGATTTCTCCTGGACACCAGGTGGTTCATCCGCATATTTAACTCAAGGCATATCATGTAAAGGCGAAGTACAATGCAAATCAATAGAAAATTAACAGCGCGAAACCGTGCACAATAAGATATACGATGCAAGCAAGCGCACTATCAAACATCCAGTAACACAGCTAGGCAGTAACTGAAACACGAGAAATTCCAAAAATACAACCAGCACAAATCGAATGCCACGTTATACAACGACTTGAACAATGAGCAAAAGCTACATGGAACAAGTAAACAACGAGAGTTAAAGAAATCAAGTACAAGCAGAAAATCCAGTGGATCGTATACACAACTCAGGGCTCACTAATGCTCATTCCACTAATTTCTCTCCCTCTCTGTTTTCTCATGTTCAAAACAAAAACAAAAAAATTGTATTTAATTATTTATTTCTTAATCTTATTTAAAAAATGAACTTTATTCTTCTAAAGTATATAACTATTATAAAAAATACGACAGAATGAGTATATTTTAAGCGATTTCTGGTTATTATTTGCACCTGCGAGTAAATATTTTGGCACCGCCACTAAATTGCAGTATATTACCATTGCTGTTCTCGAATTCCATCTTTTGCATGCATCTTTACAAATACATAGAGTTGCGGTAATTCTTGCAGATTTTCTCACACTTTGTTGTTTTGCATTTCAAATGTTATTCAGATAACCGTCGCTATAATGTACCATTATTATGTTTGCCTTATTTTTCGTGTATCCATACCCACCTCGGTGTGTAATATTTATATTTCAGTGCGCTATACAATCAAAGATAATATAAATATTTATTTATTATATTAATTTTCTGTTAATTGAACAATAAAGCGAAATTTGCGTTAACACACATAACAGCAACAAGAAACAGATTATATCTGTCTCTAGCAATATTCTTGTAAAACCCACCGAATGCCTTATTATTGTTACTATTATTATGTATATTTTTTTTCTCGTGTCTCAGGCATATATTTCGTAACTAATGCAAACGTGTTCCTTACATTGTTTGATAATCGAAAGTCCACACCGCTCCTATGCATTTCTTAAACGTGATCACAACACGTACACAAAAGGCAATACTTACACTCTACTTAACGGACATATTATATTATGTAAGCAACACTTTCATACACTTTCATGACTTCCAATCTCAAAAAATTTCGAATCAAATGTAACGATTGATGGAAAGTGTTTAAATCGTAATTGTCATTTCAGCGCAAAGGTAAACGATTGGGCTCACATGGCTGCATCGATTCTGCTGAGCAAGAATATACATACAATGGGTACTTCTATTGTGTACAAATATTTGAAATGCATCTCTGTGCTGCGTAAGTATTGAGGAGATTTTAATACTAATTCAATTAATTAAAAAATTCTCTTTTGTTTATATATATATGTGTTATCGAAATATTAAAATATATTCTGCGGGAAATCCTCTTCACGCGAATAAAAGCTATTTTCATATGCCAAAATGTAATTTTTGTTTGTTATTCATTACGCCTTATGCCACCTTGTACGGCTTGAGTATATATTGAAGTTCCTAGTGGGTTTTGCCATAACTCAAATGAAGTCTTGCTTTGAAGGTGTTGCATAAAACAAACTGATTTTTTTCACAAAATATGAAAAAAATCGGTCAAAAATCATCATACTAAACGCATGTGCAAAAAATTGAAAGTAATGGAATTGTATTTTGAATCCCTCTTATCTAAATGTTTTTGCAAGATACAAAAAAAATGTACATATGGCAACATGAGCTAATTGTAACTGTTTCATAATAAAAATTTCTACGGAATAGTGATTCGATATGTAAATTTACTGTACTAAATTTGGATTTGACTCGTATACGATTCTGTATCTTTGGGTTACACTAGGGCAGAATATTGTAAGATGAATAAGGATCAAACTTGTTTAATTAATAACCTTGGACTTTTTTAATAGCAACATGTTACTTACCGATAGAAGACTTTCTAAAGTCCGTCGGAATACAATATCAAAAATTCACTTATCATTTTCTAATGCTCCATGCACTTATGATGTGCACATTTTGATATGACCTTGAGCTCTTTCAGCTATGCGGTCCTTATCTCCTTAATTGTCGCAAAACTTCGTGCTTTCACAGGTCTTTTCAGTTTTGGGAACAAGAAATTCTCACAAGGTGCCAAGCCCATTGAATGCGTTGGCTGAAGCCTGTTTACGGTGTTGTTTTTGGTTAAAATATTACGAACAAGCAATGACACGCGACCTGGCGCATTATCCTATCGCACGTTTCATGCCTAAAACATCCGAAAATATTGCACGCCATGAGGCAACAGATACGCCGACATCCTCAGCAACTTGTCTAATTATGATTCGACTATTCTCTATAACCATTTTCTTCACTGCTTCAACGTTTTCATCGGTTGTTGACGCGTTGGAGAGTACCGCTTAAAAACCTTTTTTTTTCTCAAAGTAGACTCGTCAAATGCCGCAATCAACATTTTATGTGAGTTGCACCACTTAATTTTATCTTTCGCACAAAATTTAATACAGATCCTTTGATAATTTTTTTAATAGAAAAAAATCGCCAAGCACACGAAAACACGTCTAAACTTTATATCTGTCGAAAACAAACTAAAAATGCAAAATGGCTGATAATGTCATGGGACATGTGTACCAGCATCACAAAAGCAAAAAATTCCAAAATCGAATGTGCGTAGCTCATGAATTTTGAAATGTCACCTGCTTTTTGGGCAAACCTCGTATATTAAAATCTTAAAAAACAAATAATGGCTGCTTTACACTCTAGTTGGGCGCCCAAAGTTTTTTGTGATATTTGCTTCCTCCGACTTACTTAGATATTGGTCATCTAAGGTAAATTCTTCTTAAAAACTTGCACCTGATAAGTGACGAGTGTTCTTCTACAAATAAAAAAAATTGTTTTCGAAAAAAAAGAAAACTAACCCGCTTAAAAAAAACTTCGTTGAGTCCCATCTTTCGAAACAGTAGTAAAGGACCTAAAAATCGAAAAATCGTTCAGAATTTATAGGAATTCACAAAAACTCACACGTAAATTTTACTGATAAAAAGCCGATTAACTTATTTGCAGTCGACCGCAACTTGTGTCGCTCGTTCTTCTGCAACAAAGGACCAGGTAGCATCGGGCTACAGAATAAACGCTGCATGATAAGAGACACGCCTAACAGAGAACTTCTAAAAATGTATGAATGAGGTGAGTCAAATGCCACCAAAAGTGAATGCTCTCTCTTAATTCATAGAGTAAAAGGTGCTGTTTTGTCAATGTAAAAGAATCGGCAACTCTTGTTATTCTGGGGATGAGAATACGAAATGGTACTCATTGGATAGAATATGTATTTGAAGTATTGAAAGACCCCATCAAAGCCCTAGGTTTTCTAAAGCGATGTAAAAAATGTGAAATGCTCGCATCACTTACACACACACATAATTGGCGTGTGAAGGTGAGAGACCCTCGATCGCACGCAACGAAAAGCCCAGATGCTCATGGGGGATGAGAGTGACTTCAAAACTCTCGATATTCCAAAGCATCGGAATTTGAAAAGAATTAGAAAACGCATTTTTATAAAATTCCTTTAAAATTGCAATAATAATCCTCAAGGACTGACCAAAACCTATTTGTTTTCGATTATTTTTTTGCTTTTTCACGGCTTCATAGTCTTTGACATCTTAAAAACTGTTCGTCAATGTAAGATTTGTAAGCTGTAAACTTTCTGATTTTCTTCAAAGGTTATTGTAACGATAAATCGTTGATGAGCTTACTTCGAGTTTTTGTGATCAAGTCCCTCACCAGGTCAACGGTGCAATTACTGAATTGTATTGGGTCAATTAAAAGAAGCTTGAAGTGTGCGCTAATTAAACAACGATGTCGTGCAGGACTCTATAATTCAAGATTGTTTTCCGATTTCAGACGGAGCATTGGTAAGGTTAGCCTAGACTTATTATTATATGAATATTTCAATACGCGTGAGCGGTCACACTGAACTAAAAAAGAAAAAGCATATGTTGATTGCGCGGGAAAAATTTTTAAGAAATTTATATACACTAACCAGTGTCACAGCTTAAGCTTTAACTGTTTTAAACTTTTTTAATTAAATTTTCATTTTCCGAATTTCGACCAATCAACATTTTTATTTATATAAAGACTTACGGCTATATAAAGATTGGCATCAACGAAGATTTTCGACTGTGCTCTTATTGCGATCTTAGTATCATATGTAGTTAGGTAGCACATCCTCAGCCAAACTTTAGTTCATTAATTGTATAGGTAATCCATTGACAATAAAATAAGAATATATGTATCAGTTTTGAGTTCCAGCTTAACTTAATTTTCATGTGCTTGCGAATTCCTGCAGCTGGCACCGCATAGATGAAATACCTCAACAGAAAACATAAGGAAATCAAATGAAATTCGTACGCTAATGAAAATAGACATTCCAAGATTTATTTTTGTGTCCTATAATTGATGTTAATTTAACTTTATCCCGTAATGATAATAAAACTATGAACCTCTAACTCGTAGCACATATTATCTATACGCGTATTATATTTATTGGTTAATAAAAAAGTCTTCGTTCTCTTAAATATATCAAATAACTATTTCCATTAATTTTTGCAATATATATTGAATATAACGCTGAGTCCGATATTCTTCCCGCCGCCGACGTTAGTCACAGGAAATCGGAAATTAGCTTATCTTGCAATGCTGTTAATTTACTGAGTTATCTTAAAGAGTAGCAAATAGAATTTCGAATTTATATTAAACTCCTGAACAGCAGAAATTTTATATTTACATATTTCCAAAAAAAAAAAAAAAAGAAGCGTTTAAATAGCGCCGTTTTCGCACCGCTTTCATTAAAAGTAATTGTATGCTGACTATCATTTATGAGAGACGTATAAACACTGGACATTCTTGTTCAGTTTTCAACTATTTATAAGACTTATTCAAAATGATTGCAGTTCAGTGTTTTGAATTTGTATAAATTCAAAATTAAAAACGCAGATAATTTTAAACTAAAATGTGACTGCACTTATTATAATAGCAAGCGAACAATATAAATTCTTTGACATAAATGTATATAAAATTCATAATGCAAAGGTTGTAACATTTTAACTCCTCCACCTTAAAGCAGAAAATGAGAGCAAACAATTGAACGCGTGTTCTTGTAAACCCACTCTCCGCAAAAGTTTACTTCAGCTCAGTTGACTCATTTATTCAAAGGCAATGCAATTAAAAA